TGGGCACACTCAACATGGCCCTCAGTAAGTGTGAGCACCATGGACACACTCAACATAGAGCTCAGTAAGTGTGAGCACCATGGGCACACTCAACATGGCCCTCAGTAAGTGTGAGCACCATGGACACACCTACAACATAGAGCTCAGTAAGTGTGAGCACCATGGACACACCTACAACATAGAGCTCAGTAAGTGTGAGCACCATGGACACACTCACAACATGGCCCTCAGTAAGTGTGAGCACCATGGGCACACTCAACATGGCCCTCAGTAAGTGTGAGCACCATGGACACACTCAACATAGAGCTCAGTAAGTGTGAGCACCATGGGCACACTCAACATGGCCCTCAGTAAGTGTGAGCACCATGGACACACCTACAACATAGAGCTCAGTAAGTGTGAGCACCATGGACACACCTACAACATAGAGCTCAGTAAGTGTGAGCACCATGGACACACTCACAACATGGCCCTCAGTAAGTGTGAGCACCATGGACACACTCAACATGGCCCTCAGTAAGTGTGAGCACCATGGACACACTCACAACATTGGTGCTGACAATAACAAGAGTTGTGAGGGCCGCAGTAACCATTAGTCTATTGTTGGTTTATAGTATTGACAGTGTGTGGGTGTACCTGCCTGCCTGTGACGTCTTCTGGGGAGAACACACTTGTGGTGTCACCATCAGGGGAAACATTTATTGTGCCTACAGTACAGTACAGTACAGTACAGTACAGTAGAGTACAGTAGAGTACAGTACAGTACAGTACAGCACAGTACAGTACAGTACAGTACCATCAAAGATACATGTAGTTGAGAGACAATCTTACAAATGGGAACGTTTAATATACGAACAAAGGTGTGTGTGTGTGTGAGGACCACGACCTGGGGGACGTGCAGTAGTTAGGACCACCACAGGAGAAGACTACCAACATTTCTGGAACCAAGTACAGCGGCCGAGGCACCTAACACACGCAGCCAAAACTGTGTCTCACTTGATCAACAGGAGCTTCAAAGGACTGGCAAGATTATTAGTGTCATTCATGTAGTGAGAATAGAGGAGGAAGAGGAATGACAGAATAGAGGAGGAAGAGGAATGACAGAATAGAGGAGGAAGAGGAATGACAGGGAAGACAAAAGCGAGGAGACAGCGACAGATGAATCAATATCTGGATGAAGCAAATGAAGAGTTCGGTGATGAGTCTGGGCTGCGGGAGGTGATGAGTCGGGGCTGCGGGAGGTGATGAGTCGGGGCTGGTGGGAGGTGATGAGTCGAGGTGATGAGTCGGGGCTGCAGGAGGTGATGAGTCAGGGCTGCTGGGAGGTGATGAGTCGGGGCTGCGGGAGGTGATGAGTCGGGGGCTGGTGGGAGGTGATGAGTCGGGGCTGTGGGAGGTGATGAGTCAGGGCTGCTCATGAGGGTGATGGTCAGGGCTGCGGGAGGTGATGAGTCGGGGCTGGGAAGTGATGAGTCGGGGCTGTGGGAAGTGTGGCTGGAGGCTACAGGAGGTATGGCTGGAGGCTGCAGGAGGTATGGCTGGAGGCTACAGGAGGTATGGCTGGTACGAGGTGGCTTGAGGCTACAGGAGGTATAGCTTGAGGCTACAGGAGGTGGCAGGCTACAGGAGGAGGCTGGCAGGAGGTATGGCTGAGGCTACAGGAGGTATGGCTGGAGGCTACAGGAGGTGAGGCTACAGGAGGTGAGGCTACAGGAGGTATGGCTGGAGGCTACAGGAGGAGCTACGGCTGGAGGCTACAGGAGGATGGCTGGAGGCTACAGGAGGTATGGCTGGAGGCTGGAGGCTACAGGAGGTATGGCTGGATGGCTACAGGGAGGTAGGCTGGAGGCTACAGGAGGTATGGCTGAGGCTACAGGAGGCATGGCTGGAGGCTACAGGAGGTATGGCTGGAGGCTACAGGAGGTATAGCTGGAGGCTACAGGAGGTACGGCTGGAGGCTACAGGAGGCTGAGGCTAGGAGGCGCTACAGGAGGTATGGCTGGAGGCTGGCAGGAGGCTGGGGCTACAGGAGGTACGGCTGGAGGCTACAGGAGGCAGCTGAGGCTACAGGGAGGGGGCTGGGGGCTGGGGCTACAGGAGGTAGCTGGAGGCTACAGGAGGTACGGCTGGAGGCTACAGGAGGTGAGGCTGGAGGCTACAGGAGGTGAGGCTGGAGGCCAGGAGGAGGCTGGAGGCTACAGGAGGTGATAGGCTGTGAGGCTGAGGCTGCTGGAGGCTACAGGAGGTATGGCTGGAGGCTACAGGAGGTATGGCTGAGGCTACAGGAGGGTGAGGCCTGGAGGCTGAGGCTACAGGAGGCTAGGCTGGAGGCTACAGGAGGTATGGCTGGAGGCTGGTATGGCTACAGGAGGTATAGCTGCAGGCTGGCAGGAGGTACGGCTGGAGGCTACAGGCTACAGCTGGAGGCTGGCTGAGGCTACAGGAGGTATGGCTGGAGGCTACAGGAGGTATGGCTGGAGGCTACAGGAGGTACGGCTGGAGGCTACAGGAGGTGGCTGGAGGCTACAGGAGGTACGGCTGGAGGCTACAGGAGGTACGGCTGGAGGCTACAGGAGGTATGGCTGGAGGCTACAGGAGGTATGGTTGGAGGCTACAGGAGGTATGGCTGGAGGCTACAGGAGGTATGGCTGGAGGCTACAGGAGGTATGGCTGGAGGCTACAGGAGGTATGGCTGGAGGCTACAGGAATACATCACCAGCTATAGTTTATACAAGATGTGTTGATCCTGTAGAGATGACGTCATACAGAGATGACGTCATACAGAGATGATGTCATACACAAGCACCACGTTCGAGAACTTCCAACAGAACTGAACTTAAAACTAGAAGGGACTCGACGTTAACCAGTTGGCCATGAACTTAGAATGACCGGACTTTCACTTGTGTATGATGGACTTAACATTGGTAACATGTAAGATAAAGTCCTATCCACGTGTCCATATTGAAGATAATTTATATTTTTAACCACGTCTGTCTGTCTGTATATCTGTCTGTCTGTCTGTCAATCTATCTGTCTGGACATTTTTCACAACATTAAGTCATTCACAAATACATTTAAAACTTGAAATATACAAGAACAAAATTAATAAAAAAAACAAAAAAAATATTTGATATATTTGTGACTGGACAAGAAGGACATTTCCACCAAGAGAAGGAGGAACATTTCTGGACAATTTCTCGGTCAGTTGATGCTTCTTCGAGCGGTGTGGCAACTGATCCGTCTCATGACTCGATGTGATATTTTTCTGGAAGGGGGTTAGGGGGGTTAGGGGTTAGGGGTTAGGGGTTAGGGGTAGGGGGGGGGGGTTAGGGGGTAGGGGGTAGCTGTGTTGGCCATCGTCTGTGGTAGTTCCTCGAGTGTACTTGAGGTCTTTTGTATGTCATCAGAGTATCTTTACATGATCATTAACCAACTCATTTCGTGGTGTGAATGATGTACAAATGTTGGTAAGGCATCAATCACTACTTCTCCGTGTGTGTGTGTGTGTGTGTGTGTGTGTGTGTGTCGTTTAGGAAAAGGTTAATGGCATATCTCACACGACAGTCTTCATCATGTCAACACACCCACATTAATCTAAGGCTATTGAAGGAAGGCGAATACCCCAGTAATTAAACACAGGTGAAGCTATACAACACACCTGGTGAGGAGGTTAAAGGTACAATAATCATAGAGTCGTCTTATGCCCACTAGGATGCCGTCCACAGGGAAGGGTGAGTGAAGGATCAACCAGTTACACGTAAACACTTTAGTTATTATTATAGTGAAATTTGTCAGAGTTGAAGACGTAGTGTCTGGAATGGTGGAAGTTGTATCGAATTTCTTTAAAAACTTTCATCTCTTCTGATTGAGTTGAAGACATTCTCAAGCTCTAATTCTTCATAGTGGAAATATCAAATAGCCCCGCCCTCTTTCTCTCGTTTTGGCTTGTGATTGGTCAGTTAGAAAACAAATACTGTAGTGCTATTGGTTGACTAGTACTGACTTCCATAGAGGATACTGTCACATTATCCAATCACAAATTATACGTCATGTTGGTGGACGGTGAGTGGAGGTCACGGGGCTGTCACGTCCCAGCCTCAAGGACGTCACATCTGAGCAGCTCTAGTAACAAAGCGACGGAGGTGTTGACGGCGGCAGCTAAGGGTCTCGTGCTTCCGTCAGTCTCTTCTACACCACAAAGAGACACAGCGGAGAAAAGAGAACTAATTGATTCGGGAAGATTACGAGCGAGGAAACGTTGACGAAAATCATGAGTCGAGTGAGGAAACAATGAGCCACTGTTCCCAACACTGAGTTAGAAGTTTGTTTTAAGTTGAGGTTAACTGTAACGCCCACTGCTGTGCCAAGTGGTTAGGACAGTGTTGTTTTAGATACACTTGTCTGCCCCGTGGTAGTGTTGGTGGTGGTGGTAGTAGTAGTGGTGGTCGTGGCTGGCTACTTATCCACGCTGGTACAACCTGCCTGCGACAGCTGTGACGGTGTCGTCACCCAGTAATGACAAAGGTTCTCTGAGACGGTTGATATTATGATGATGACGGAGAGCTATATATATATATATATATATATATATATATATATATATATATATATATATATATATATATATATATATATATATATATATATATATATATATATATGATGAACGGTCGCTGGGTCAGGAAACAGTACCATTTAACATGTCTTGTACTCAGGTGGGTGACAGGTGCTAATACTCGCCTCTCGGCCAATTAGTTGCTTGGCAGCTCGGCCTAGTCCACCGCACCATTAATTGGATTACATCTCCCATCATTGGGTGGGGGGCTCGTCTACCAGTGATGTGGTAATATTGCTAGACCATCATCATGTACTGTGTGTTGGTCACTACAATGGTTCTTCCTCCACTCAAATTAAATGGATGGGTACGTCCACCCCCCTATATTGTGTGTGTGTGTGTGTGTGTGTTACAGTAACTAACTACAGTACGTTGTGTGTTACAGGGACGATGATGGGTCGTGTGGAACAGCCTGTACTATCAGGCCTGCAGCTACTCCTCCTGCTGTGTGTCCTCATGCATCACACTCAGGGTAAGTCACCACTAACTAACTATTACTTGGCGGAAACATTACTATTATTATTATTATTATTGTTACTAATATTATTATTATTATTATTATTATTATTTTTACTATTATTATTATTATTATTATTATTATTATTATTATTATTATTATTATTATTTTTACTATTATTATTATTATTATTATTATTATTATTATTATTATTATTACTATTATTATTATTATTATTATTATTATTATTCTCATCGGTGTTACCAGCTCTCCACAAACACTTTAAGTTGTTATGCTTTAAAAATTATTCCCTTAAACACCAAGATTAATTGAACATTTTGAACGAATGAACGAAGGTTTAAGTCTTTCACAAGTATTGAAAGAAAACTACCTAAGTCATCAATAACGGGTTAGGTCAGGTTAGATTGCGTTAGGTTAGGTTAAGGTAATCCCCGAAGGCCAAGGAAACAAACAGATTACAGGTAGAGGTGTTCTTGTGTCTTCATTGAACGAATCTAATGGGAAAAAACATATATACGCCGGAAAAGTTTAATACTTTTGCTGAAAAAAAAATTAAGACGTATTTTTATTGTTTTCGGTGTTCAGTGGATATTTTACTTTGTACAGAATCTCGTGTGTGTGTCGTGTGTGTGTGTGTGTGTGTCGTGTGTGTGTGTGTGTGTGTGTGTGTGTGTGTGTGTGTGTGTGTGTGTAATAGCCAAACTCATCATTCCTCTCCCTTCCCCCTCCCTCCCCTCCACCACCAGAATGACCTTTACAATAACGGTGACCTTTGTGTGGCAGTGTACAAAGGTTAAGGGTAAAAATTAACACAGGTTACATAGAATATTCCTCCCACTCTCTCTCTCTCTCTCTCTCTCCTGGCGAGACCTAGCAAAGAGGAGGGCGTTATGTGTGTGACGGATGCAAGGATAACTAAATGGTTCTTCTTCTTCTTCTTCTTATTATTATTATTATTATTATTATTATTATTATTATTATTATTATTAGGTTCAACATCAGTACGCCATCACACATTTCGTATTGTCTTTAAATTTGAAAAAAAAAATAAAAAAAATAAATAAATTAAGAAAAAAACTAATTTGTGAGGACTAAACAGCTGCGTCGACCAGAAGATAAGAGCAAAGTTTTGTGAGAAATAGATGATAAAGTTTGTTTGCAATATTCCTGTAAAAAAATTTGGGGTAAAACGGCTACAAAATGTAAATAAGCTCTCTTCTCCCTCTTCCTCCTCCTCTTCCTCCTCCTCTTCCTCTTCCTCTTCTTCTTCCTCCTCACGCAAATTAAGGATAAATCTCTTGTGTAAGTGAAATTCTAAACCAAGAATTCTGAAAGCTCTTTGGAATATTTTGCAACATTCTGTAAAAAAAAAAAAAAGTGTGGAATGGGAAAAAAATATGCAGTTGGGGATTTGTTTTAGTGGAGAAAGAAAGTCAGACGAAGAAGTCAAACAAAAGTGGGTATCTCTTGTCAGCTTAAGAAAGATATTAACGTGGAAAGTTCCTAGAGTCTGGTACAAGATTTTAATATTATTATTATTTATTATTTTTTAGTTATTATTATTTTATTATTATTATTATTTTATTATTATTATTATTATTATTATTATTATTATTATTATTATATTTTTGTATTTATTTATTATTATTATTTTTTATTCTTATATTTTATTATTATTATCATCGTCATCATTATCATTATTATATTATTATTATTATTATTATTATTGACCTTACGTGGCGGAGTAAACAAACAACACTAATAATATAATCTGGAAGTATGGGAAGGATTTGTTTACGTCTTATGATAAACAAGGAAAGGCTTTTGTTTACGTCTTATGATAAACAAGGAAGGGCTTTTGTTTACGTCTTATGAGTATCGATAAATAATGTTTAAGTTGTATTCCATTCATCGCCGTTTCTGTAGTAATTCCCGCTGACAAATTCCTGACACTCCACGTTAACTAAATGCACGCAGCTGACAACTGTTGTCAGCCGAACATATACAGACATCTTAACTAAACCTGGTCTTCCTTAACCTAACCTAACCAAGTCTTCCTTAAGCTAACCTAACCAAGGCTGAGCAAAGTTACCTAACCCCAGTAAAATACGTTTAGATACGACAGGTAAAAATACGTTTAGTCAGACATAAAAATACGTTTAGTAAGCAAGTAAAAATACGCTTAGTTCCGACAGGTAAAAATACGTTTAGTGACGACAGGTAAAAATACGCTCAGTCCCGACAGGTAAAAATATAGTCAGACATAAAAATACGTTTAGTCAGCAGGTAAAAATACGCTTAGTCCCGACAGGTAAAATACGTTTATTACACTTTCTGTAAACATTAAACCTTTCATCAAGACTCGGTATACTAACCAGTCAAAGAGAATTTGCAAGTAAGATGTAGAGGCGTGAGGTACGTGGCCTCCCTGTCAGGCTCATCACACCCTCATAGGGTTCACGCTGGCTGTGTCTTCTAGGGCAATACATGATCATACCACTGATACCTAACCTAACCTAACCCCTCACGTTCATCTTACAAGACTTATGATGTTATATTGTTCTAAGGTTCATTGTTATTCACTTACCTTCTCTCATAAACACCAGTTTATGCCAGCGTTGTTTTAATTATTATCTCAAAACCACAATACGAAAATTCTCTCCCTGGTTCAAACATGAGTGAACATATTTGAAATTCCTTACAAACTTTAAAAAAAAATTATCCAAACTTCTAAGGACGTTCTTCTTTATATTAGTGATGTGGAAATATTACAATGTTTAGAATCCCTGAATGAATCACATATGTGCATCTTCATAACAACTCCTGAAGCTTTTTACACATGTGATGCATAACTCTAGTGTGGTGTAGACCTGTGGGTGGGGGTGACCTGGCTGCTTGGTATTCTTTGGTCAGGTATCTGGAAGTGACGCGTTCTGACGTGGGTTTTATTAACTGTTACATTGTATACATTCAAGGAAACCAGCCAAGTCCTTCCACAGTTACTAGACATTGCTCGACCCAACCAGCCAAGTCCTTCCACAGTTACTAGACATTGCTCGACCCAACCAGCCAAGTCCTTCCACAGTTACTAGACATTGCTCGACCCAACCAGCCAAGTCCTTCCACAGTTACTAGACATTGCTCGACCCAACCAGCCAAGTCCTTCCACAGTTACTAGACATTGCTCGACCCAACCAGCCAAGTCCTTCCACAGTTACTAGACATTGCTCGACCCAACCAGCCAAGTCTTTCCACAGTTACTAGACATTGCTCGACCCAACCAGCCAAGTCCTTCCACAGTTACTAGACATTGCTCGACCCAACCAGCCAAGTCTTCCACAGTTACTAGACATTGCTCGACCCAACCAGCCAAGTCTTTCCACAGTTACTAGACATTGCTCGACCTTAACCAGCCAAGTCCTTCCACAGAGACATTGACCCAACCAGCCAAGTCCTTCCACAGTTACTGACACTGCTACGACCTAACCAGCCAAGTCCTTTCCGCAGTTACTAGACATTGCTCGACCCAACCAGCCAAGTCTTCCACAGTTACTAGACCTGCTCGACCCAACCAGCCAAGTCTTTCCACAGTACTAGACATTGCTCGACCCAACCAGCCAAGTCCTTCCACAGTTACTAGACATTGCTCGACCCAACCAGCCAAGTCCTTCCACAGTTACTAGACATTGCTCGACCCAACCAGCCAAGTCTTTCCACAGTTACTAGACATTGCTCGACCCAACCAGCCAAGTCTTTCCACAGTTACTAGACATTGCTCGACCCAACCAGCCAAGTCCTTCCACAGTTACTAGACATTGCTCGACCCAACCAGCCAAGTCTTTCCACAGTTACTAGACATTGCTCGACCCAACCAGCCAAGTCTTTCCACAGTTACGCCAGACATTGCCCGACCCAACCAGCCAAGTCCTTCCACAGTTACTAGACATTGCTCATCTAACCAGCCAAGTCTTTTCCATTGTGTTACTAGACATTGCTCGACCCAACCAGCCAAGTCTTTCCACAGTTGGTTGACATTGCTCGACCCACCAGCTGTTCTTTCCAGCGTTAATAGACATTGTCGATTCCAACCAGCTAAGTCTTTCCACAGTTACTAGACATTGCTCGACCCAATCCAGCCAAGTCTTTTCCACAGTTACTAGACAGACATTGCTCGACCCAACCAGCCAAGTCCTTCACAGCTAGACATTGCTCGACCTAACCAGCCACATCTTTCGACCCAACCACAGTTACCAGACATTGCTCGTAACCAGCCAAGTCTTTCCACAGTTACTAGACATTGCTCGACCCAACCAGCCAAGTCTTTCCACAGTTACTAGACATTGCTCGACCCAACCAGCCAAGTCTTTCCACAGTTACTAGACATTGCTCGACCCAACCAGCCAAGTCTTTCCACAGTTACTAGACACTGCTCGACCCAACCAGCCAAGTCTTTCCACAGTCACTAGACATTGCTCGACCCAACCAGCCAAGTCCATCCACAGTTACTAGACATTGCTCGACCCAACCAGCCAAGTCCTTCCACAGTTACTAGACACCGCCACACGCCTTATTTCCTTGGATTATTACTCTGTTTCTCTATACCTGTGTCAGTGTGTCACTCTTCTACACGTGTGATATTTTTTATCATATTAACCTCTCGTGTTATACCGCAGCACCTGAGTTATGCCAGATATATATTTCCCTAGAGATAAAATAGTTTAAGACAACGCTACTATGTTCACTACTGAGCCAACTATAAGGTCATTGGACTCATAGCTGCCCAAGGTCACCGAGGTACACCTGAACACCCTCTTCCCCAGGTACTGCTATACAGGTGAGGCCCCCGAGGTTATTGGCCTTGCCTGTATACAACTCTCGCCAGTTCAGTAATACAATGTGTGGTAATGTGATCATTGCGATTTTCTCTTTATTATTATCATTATCTTCTTCATTTCACCACCAATATCATCATCACAAACACCATCATCACCATC